GGTCGGGCCCTGCTTCTGCCGCCGGGTACCGTCTCTGCTCCTCTGGGGGGTCCAGGCGGTGAACCTGGCCTGAGGGGTTAGACGGGGAAGCAGCCGCTGTTTAATGAACACCGTGGTTTTGGTTAAAATGAAGAAAGCACTTCAGAAGTGGCTGTGTGTTTTCTTTCTCCCAGAAAGACTTTCTCTGCTTCTTCCTCTTAAAAATTTGAGAGGATCAACAGATTTTTGGTTCATGTGTGGATTTTTCGTTGTGGTATGTTGCCAGTTACCAATGTTGATGAAGGCATGCAGATAGATATTAGCCACTATATTAGTATTTATTACCAATAAAATAACCCCAGATGTGACCTAATTCCTCAATTGCATTGTATATGTATCATTTTACGTAACCTGAACTGTACTGATTAGATGTCAGCTACAATGCATTATGGGCAAATACTGCAGTATTTGTATGCATAGTCCGTTTTTTAGTGATTATCTTTGTATTTTTGATTATAGATGATTTTCTGAACAAAACTTTTGTCTAGAGAAATTGATTGCAGCCATGTTTTTCTAGATCCATATGCTCAACTTCTTCTTGAGGCAATGAAGCAGTCTGGTTGGTACGTAAACTAACTTGATGCTGCTTTGTGTAGTAACATCTGTATTATATGGGGTTTATAGTCTTATTAAAATTGTCCCTGTAACTTTATTCGTTTGGGTCTTTCAGCACTGTCTTCAATGACCGGCACTTTTCTTGTGAAAACTGTGATGGCTGTGTCAGTGGAGGTTTTGATTCTACCACATCTCAGGTAGGCACTGGACTACACGTTATTGCCTTTCAAAGAACTGACAATACATGCTTTAGTATTTTGTTAAAAGGGAGTTGAATTTGATGATAATGATCTCTGATTTGAAAACATAAAAAGAAAACATGTACAAGATGTCCAGCAATATGGAACTAACATTACTAGTACACTGCAGAATGATGAGACCGTTAACACTGAAAAACGTTGGTCACTTTTAAGGGTCTAAACGATATGGGTGATCTCCACAGGGTCTCTGAGGAGTGGGGGAGGTGTTGAAAGTTAGTGTTGCTCAGAGTTAATATATCAAGTATGTACCACTAGCATTGATGGTTTATTTTTCTAAAAAAGATTACCTATATCTTTTCTTTTACAGATTGTTCTGTGTCAGAACAATATTCGCCACCAATCCCATATGAATCGTGTGGTTACACATGAATTGATTCATGCTTTTGATCACTGCCGTGCACATGTTGACTGGTTCAAAAATGTCAAACACTTAGCATGTTCAGAGGTAAGTCAAAATGCTTCTAACATTGTCACTGTGTTACAGCTGTCACAGTTATTAGGGATGTTTCCTGTCTAATTGGGCATACTGTTATATAAACTTCATTTGATTTAATCCAGATACTTTTTCATCCTTTCTGCCAGGTCAGTCTAGACAGTTTCATTCAGACAACAAATAGTTTGTTTTCACAAATACTGAAAAGTCATTGTCATAGTAAGTAGAATGCTATCACTGTAAGTGGAACCATAACAAGAAGTGATTATTACCAAGTGAGAATAGTTAGAGGTTTAAAAACAATCTTGTGTAGCGTGAGTATTTGTAATGCCTTTTCTCCCTTGCAAATCTTGATGTGTTCAGTAGTTATGAAAATAGTACGTTAACCTTGTTTTTATTTAGGAATTTTTGTTAGCAATAAACTTATCTTTTCCTATAACACACTACTTTTCCGATTAAGTGTAACATTGGTAGTAGCATGTTTTGCTCATGACTCCCTATCCATTTCGGAAGAGATGGGAATAAGCTGCTTGAAAGGCTTTGGAAATTGGATATGTTATGAGGTGAACTCAGACCACCACATAGGCTACTAAGGATCCCTCTTATGTATACAGCTTGTATATAGTCACATATTTTTAGTTGACTTCCTATGTAATCCTTGCCATTTGATCACATACAATCTTATAAATCCTTATAATTAATATTACAAAGCTACATCTTTGTGCAGATGAGTAGCATTAGGGGACTGCCTAACTATGCTTTTTAAAAACAAAAGGATATCAAAATACTTTGCAATCATTTCTTAAGGAACGTATTTGATTGGAGACTTTAAAGATATGGACAAGTTTCATCAATAAACAGTAGGTGAGAGAACTGACATGACAAACTTGGTACAGAACAGATCAGGCTTCATAAAAATATATTTTAATCATATTTACCTTGGAAGCATTTTGCATTGTCACGTATCATCTTTACCTTTTAATAAATGTAACTTAGTATCAAGTAATGTTACTTGATACTCATTAAAGCCATTCTGTATAATTCAAAATTATCTTATCTGTTTTTTTTGTCTATGTGTCTACATAGTGCATGTAAACCTCAAACATAAAATTAGAGAACATACATAAAACAAGTTTGGCTTGATCTTGTTTTTATTGAAATTGTTTGCATGCTTCAGCTCTGTTGGTAGTTATTTTCTGTAGTCATGGCGTTTATAACTTTTACTCATTAAACTTTCAATTCTTTCATTTCATTTTTTCAATATATTAGCCTTTGCCCTGGTACTTAGTTGTAGGAAATCTAATTTTAGTTACATTTCCCAAATGAGGAGGTATGGTCTGGAACAGTTGGCTGAGAAAGGAAATTTCAAGGCACAACAGAAGACTGTTTACGAGGGAATAAAGATGTATTCTTTTAAATGTAGCTGTTTCTATAGCAGGTGATTTAGCAGGTTACTGCTGTTCTGGGTCTTTGAAAGGTATCTTGTCTTCCTTCCTGGCTGTTATATGAGTTTCTCATATACATGATTTGGGGAGAATCTCAATATCCATGTTCCTTTAGCAGTTCATGTATTTATGATCTTTCTGCTCATTTGTCTAAGCTTCAGGAATATATGAAACTTGATCCCTGGAGCTTTCTGCAGGTTTTAGAGTAATATGTTACCATTCATTAGAATTGAGACGATATAAAGATATTACGGACCTAGTAAGTGCAAGTGATCCTGAGGATATTCTCTACTGGCAGTCACCAGAAAAAAAAATTGTTACAGGTTGTTTGACTTTGTGTTCCAATTTTTTTTCTCTGATCTTGTGGCTTTTTTCCCCCCTCCCCACAATAGATTCGAGCTGCTAATCTCAGTGGAGACTGTACACTGATGAATGAAATAGCCAGGTTTAAATTTGGATTAAAGCGACACCATCAGGTAAAGACTGTAGATGTTAAAGTCTATTGATTTGTTATGAGCATTCTTTTCTGTTTTTGAGCTCTGCCTTCCACACTTCCATAGCTGAAAACAGCGCAGAAAGAAGTAGAGGTCAGAATCGTTAATACTCTTGTAAACCTTTGTCTGCCTTCCATTTCTCCTGGTGAATTTTATTCTCCCATTTTTGAGCCCTACTTCACTGTTATTTTCTGTCTCTCTTCTTCCTCAAGGCCTGTCTTGTCTTTCTGGTCTTTAGTTTTCCCTTGGAAATGTGTTCCTACTTCCCTGGTTCTGTCCAGCATCTATATCTGGCTTGCACAAGTTGTGTTTTGTTGCTGTTGGATGTTTTCCCTTTTCCCCAGTGCTTCTTTCGTTCTTGGCTCTTCTCACAGTGTTTTTTCTCTACTCGTTTCTCATCCCTGGATTCCTTTTTAAACCTCTCTACTAAGGAGAAGAGAGAGGAACCACAGCTGAATGGAACGCTAATAGCTGCTGACTAAATCTGCATCCTCCTCTTTATGCTTTTTTTTTTTTCCCCTGCCAGTCAAGCCCTTTCCCCTTTGAAAGCAGGAAGAGCCTGATCCTGCTTGGTTTTGTCAGGAAGCTGCAATGAATTTCTTCTTCTAACCTGAACGGTCAGCTGTCAAATGGCAGCTGACTGAAAACTTTGCTGCAAAACAGCAGTCTACTTAAGTTTTAAGTTGTATGTAACTTGCCTCTACTTTTTTTTTTACAGATACAATGTACAGGCCATTCCTATAAAATTAAGCCGTAATTCTGTGTTTCACAGTTTGCATCATCACTTGCATCTGTAAAGTGAATAAGTAATGACACCATTCCGCCTTATGGCTTTTGGTGTTTATTATCCCCACCTTGTATCGCTAGTGGGTGTTTGCCATATTCCATCACAATTCCGTATTTGCAGAGCTGTAGTGTGCAGCAGTGCTGGAGGATATGCTATGGATTAGCTGCTTTCTCTTAATTTAACTGTAATGCTTCATGATTGTTTTTGTTTGCCTTTTCTGCTATTTTTGTTGGAGTGGAATAGCTGATACCTAGTCATATTCTAGAACAATACCACTGACAACTGAAGAGAGCTGAGTGAACGATTAGTGCAATACCACTGACAATGGAAGAGCACTGAATAAACAATAGAAACAGAATTCATAAAAGGCCAGGTTTCAATGCACTTTCTAAAACATGTTTAGAAAGCTTTAGCTGCTTTATAGAATACCTTTTTTAACTCAAAATGATGGATTTTTAAATTAGGAGCTTATTTTCTCATCCCAGTTACTATTTAATAATTTTGTTAATAGATGCCTAATAAGCATCAAACAAAAACAGTTTTGCCAGGAAACGTGTTACCCAGTGTATGGTTAAAAGAGTTTGAAAACTGGAAGAGAGAGAGAGAGAACAAGAAGTGTGTAAAATCTTGTATTAATTGATCCTTTTTTTTTTTTCTTTAACCAGAATAAAGACTACAGGTTGAGTCCCAAATAATTGTTCCCTTTTAATTTAGAGTGGCAGTGACCTTGTAGCTGGAGATATTATGCATCTTTTTTCTCCTTTTAGGAGATAAGCTGTATCAACAAATGTTGTCGTAAAGAAGGGTATCAAATGAAGGCCAGCAGAGGAATCCTTTCCTTTGTCTTATTTTTTACCGCACTTCAATTGGAAAAGCACTAATTGAAATTTATGTTGCGTTATCTTTTTGACATTCTCTTGTGTGTAATTCAAAGTTGTACAAGTATGTGACACCTACAACAAAAGTCAAATTGTATTTTATTTCCTATCACAGAGAAACTCCTTTTCGTATTCAAAGGCTTACGTGCACAATGGAAAGCTAAAATACATAGTTAACATAGGATTGAACAAAAATGTATTTTACTGCAGGCATTGTTTGACTCTTCTGTGATATAAAATTTATGCATGTGTAGTAGGAGTTAATATTTTACAACAGCTGAACAAAATGATTTATTCTAACTTCTCAGGTAATGACAAATTTTCTTCATCTATTTCCCACTTTCAGACTTGTGTACGAGACAGAGCTATTCGCTCCATTCTGGCTGTTAGAAAAGTTAGCAAAGAAACGGCAGAAAAAGCTGTAGATGAAGTTTTTGACGCCTGCTTCAATGATCTGGAACCATTTGGAAGAATCCCACACAATAAGTCAGATGCAAAACGTGCTTATAGAGACTTTCAGAACAGAGATCGCTATAATAGTAATTTGTAAAGGAAAAAACTTGAAAAATTACTTTGCTATCTGGTTAAGCCTAGGTTAAGCCTACGCACACAGCTCTGGTGGAAAGGGCAGTTCTACCAAGTGAATCAATTCGTTTTGTAGACTTTATCCAGGAGCCAAGTTCCAGTGAGGTAAATGAACAAGACTCAGTGTGTTTCCTCACCTGCTATTTCGGCAAGATCATTCAGTGTGTCGAATGACTTGGCAAATAAGACTTATTCTGCACAATTCAATGCAATTTAATTCTGCTCGGTATGACTAGGACTTTGATTCTATAAGTTCTATCTTTACTGAATAAATCTTTTCATAAAAATCTTTAAATTTTCATCGTTTTTGGTACATAGTCATAAACCTGATAATCTTGATTATTCCATTTTCAAAGGTGGGCATGTGAAGTATAGCTCTTGATCTCTTAAGTTTTGAATTTATCCTGTTTGCCTAAACTGCTGCATTTGTCTCTAGAGTGCGGTCCTTAAGTCACTCTTGAGATCCTTGGAGATCCAGCCAACTGATGTCAACTGCACAGATACATCATGCCCTTTGGTTTATTAGGGGTTTAACTGACAATTCTCCGGCTTAAGCTAAGTAAACTTTGTGAGAGTATATTCACACATTGGGCCTTGCTCAAAAGGTAGGTGTAGCTTACAGTCTTTCTCCTATACTGCAGAGCAGATAAGCTGTACAGGCTATCTACTGATCCAGATCCCCTGTTCATTTGAGGGAAGAGAAGCAGGGTTACTAGCTTCATCCTAAACCTGAGGAAAAAATTTCTTGGATACCACAGCACAAACAAAGATCTAATGCCTCACTCCTCCATTATTTCCAAATACAAGGTCTTCTATTGATTGTCTGAGATGTGAGAGAGCCACATTCTCTTCTCTTTCTTGAAATTGAAGGCTTTTCTACCACACATATGGTTCACTGACATAATGGAGATGAGGCTTCACAGGCAAAGCTTTGTAGCCATAGGTCATGTGACAGTTACTGGATCAGGACTGAAGTGGGAAACTTAGTTCCACAAAGAATCAAATGACCCCATGCTTGTTGGTGTTTAAGTGCAAAACATCTTAGTCAAACTTTCAACTTCATAGAGTCTCAGCGTCCGAGTGATTTGTGTAGTGGTGTTTTCAGATGTTCTGTGCAGAGTAGCTATTCAAAAATACAGAATCACAGACTTGCTGAGGTTGGAAGGGATCTCTGGTGACTGTCTAGTCCAACCACCCTGCACAGAGCAGAGTCAGCTGGAGCAGGTTGCTCAGGACCACGTCCAGTCAGTTCTTGAGCATCTCCAAGGAGGGAGACTCTGCAACCTCTTAGCAACCTGTTCCAGTGTTCATCCACCCTTGCAGATGTATTTTTTTCTTATGTTTAAATAGAATTTCCTCTATTTCACTTTGTACTCACTTCGTACAACTCGAGGGTTGTCCTTGCCATTGGCATCACTGAGAAAAGTCTGGCTCTGTCTGCTTTACTTCCCTTATCAGATATTTATACACATTGATAAGATTTTCCCCCGAGCCTTCTTTTCTTCAAACAAAACAATCTCAGCCCTCTCAGCCTCTCCTCCTATCCCTCTCATCTTAAAAAATGTTTGAATAGTACAGACTTCTAATGTGTCCTCTAGATTATCCCCTTCTTCAGATGAATACCTAACAAATACTATGCTACAGCTACTAGTTCAGTTTAAAAACAAATTTTACATTAGTTTTGTGCAGCAATTAGATTTGGATCAAGAGAAGGAACTGTGTAAGTTAAAAGTTTGAAGTATTTTCACCTGTATTTTGAATATTCCGCTCCTAGCGTAGAAGTGACAAGGCTGAGCTGATGCCAGGTATCTGCAATGCTGTAGGAAAATTCAATGTCTTGAACTGTACATGAGAGAGCCTACCAGAAATGCCTGAAAGAGATGGATCTGAAATGCAACTGTGTTTTACAGTGTAGACGTCTGGGTGAGGCTGACACTCCCAATGTGAAATTACTCCATGCACCTAGACGCCAGGGCGTTGTTTTCATGACAAGTAATCCAACCACTTCAGCACGGGTGTCCCAGATAGAGTTAAAGAGTCCACATGAACTTGGGACTAGACAATCTGCATGCCAGCTCTCTGGAGATTTGAAAAGTTTAGAAATATAGATGGGGGTTGTTCTCTTCACTCACCGTCAGTGTCAGATAACCATCCCAGCCGTGTTTAATTTATCACTGCAGATGCAGTTAGTTATACAGTGTCTGGAACCTGAGTCCTAAGCACAACAATCTACCAATCATATTTTGTTCATACTGACTCCCCTCAAGCAAAAAACAAAAACAGCCCCCCCAAACCGTCTGCTCTGTTACTTGTTGAGTTCAAACTACTTGGAAATAGTGATAGAATAACACCTGCTACCTGGATGGGCTTAGATGACATGTGAGGTCACTATGCAAATTTGTAGTGTAAACCCAGAGCTCGGGCTCAATTTTTTGGAAGAATAGCTGCATAGATACGCACATTTTATTTGCTCCCTGTTTAATGTAAAATGCATAAGTAGTCCTGGGAGACCTGAATTCCCAGGTCTGCCAGCCCGTGTTCCTCACCCACCGACTCCCAAGAGACTATTGCTGTCACAGAGTTATAATTTGGTGTTCCTGTTCTTGCTTTCCTTGGCCCTGTGCATTCTGCTTTCTTGGATTCTTTCTCCCAGCAAGGTTTGGAAAGAAAGCAAGGAAAACTCAGTGAGAGTGGACGTGATTACTCTGTAAATATGTTGGGGGAGGGAATTATTTAAGTAATGGTATGAGGTCAAAGTGTTATACATTAGTCATGATTCATTTAAATAGGAGATTAAAAGATGGCATCTGAAGAGTAAAGGCATTCTAAATATGACAGAGGACAAGAAACATGCATTATTTACACTGAGAATGAAAAGTTTATGGAAAGGGATGATCCTAAAATGGGAAAAGTTAAGCCCTTGAGTATTCAAAAAATGTTTAAGTGAAACTAGATTGTTGTGTGTTCACATTAATTTGCATTTTATTTCTGTTGTAGTGATCCTGTATTTCAGGATTTCTGCTGACTATTTGCAAAGTTCATAACGGAGAGGACTAGTCTTTACTTCTTTCTTCTCCACCTCCAGAGTTCCAGTTCTTCCTTTCCATCCCCTATGTCACTGGGGAAGCAACAGTAACAGGCATAAATTAGGATGAGCTGATGGATTTAAGGTCTTAAAACCTTTTAGTGCCAGTTTAGTGTATTTTACTCACATGCTCAAGATTAAACTAATCACTAAATTTGGCATCAGAAAGGAAATTTTCCTTGATTAATATGATAGAGATCACTGATTTTTCTTTTGCTTTACTCCATAGTACCAAGACTAAAACAATGCTCTGAAGACTTAAAGAAGCATTGTAGTTGCTGTAGCTGTCCTACTGAAGTAGTGAGAAGCTGAATAGTGTGTATATAGGGGAGCAGTTAGAGACCGGACTAAGAACAGGCTGTCTGTAAGCTATTAAAGGACTAGCTAAGGTCTACACAAGACACCTGTGACCTTCAGTGGAGGAAGGTGTTGGTATACAACACATAACATGAATGGAACATTATAGTGCTACTACTGGTTGGTATTTGCATGCGTACTTAGCATATGAGCAAAGCATTGGACATGCATGAGAGAAGATCATAAACAAGGATAAGCAGCGTGATGAAATGTATAAGGACCTAATTAAATACACATAATAATGAGCCGTTGCTTGGATTCAAGCTGATGAACATCTGGACACTTTTGTGCTGCTCAGTCACTAGTACATACCTTTATGTTTACTGCCTGCTATTACTGCTCTGAATAAAGAGGCCTATGATAGCATGATAAGGTGTCATAATGGCAAGGGTGGTTGAGTCCGGCCCTCAGAAATGAGATTCGATACAAGCTCTGGAGCAGTCAGCTAAATCTGTGCAGGATGAGCTATATGCAGGGGTGTTAGCTGGAGTTAGGCTTCCTGGGCCAGTAGTAACTCCTGGGACAGCTGGACCAGTGGAAAAGGCAGATCTGAAAGGAACAGCTATCAGATGGCATCACAGAATCACCTGTGAATTTCCTGTTAAAAGGTGTTTCTTTTTGTTGCAGGGATGAAGCTCACTGGCATGACCTTGAACAGTTTCTCTTCAGCTGTGGTACATCACAGCTGGGAAATAAGCCTCTCTCAGTGTAGGTCTGAAGCTTGTCAGCAATGGGAAACCTTTTCTAGCTGGTATCATTCATGCTCTCAACTGCTGCTCATGTTCTGGTTGTCTCTGGTGGTGAAGGACTGGATATGGTGATCAGTGTGGTCTTTCCCTGGTCTGTGTCCCTATATGTTTTGTGATGTCTGATTTGTCAGGGTATGAAGCTTTCTCAGGGGATACTACATGCTAGGTTTGGCAGGTGTGGAGCAACAGACTCACGGGTGGGACTTGAGCAGGAGTGAGGTACTGAGTTGCTCGGTCAAGGGGAGGTCTGGACCTGAACAGAACATTTCAAGTGCCATACAAACTCTCAGGCTGGAACGGGAAGGTCTTCCTTAGCTCCTCCAAGGTACCTCCAGAGTTAGGCAGTGTCTGAACGGGCTTTTGTTAAAACTGTGGTTTTGGGCTCCTGCAATCTACCTACAGCCTATTTTAGATGCCTACATTCTTTGATTTTGATCCTAATTCTGAAATTCCCTACTGAGAACTATTCTGTTGTGTAATTAGTCTCAGTTCCAAGGGGTGTGCTTCTACAGGCATCTCTAAAGAACAAGTTGCATTAACAGGACGATAGAAAAGGCAGTAATTTCCTCTGTCACCCAAGCAGATCCAGTGGTGTGCTGCCATTTCCCGAACAGAAAAAAACATTTTGAGAAGATTCAGATGTAAGCACTGTCCTCACAGAGGACCAAAGGAAACCTCCAAACAGTCTCTGAGAGATTTTATCAAGTGATCTGAATTGTTCTGTTCATGCTGGGTTATGTGAGGAATGCCCTTCTATTCCCTTAGGCAGCATAATATATCCTTAGATACTATTGCTTCTGGGGTTGCTCGTTAATGCAGATCCCTCAGATATGCATCCTAGTTGTCTTGGGGAAAATACCATCTTGTCCAAGATTCACCAAACCTATGTTTTCAGTAGTTTTGCAGAATTTCACAGGGAGATTTCATGATCTTATTTTATCAGGATAATTCCATCAGTGACTGACATAATCACATGCCTGAATATCCAGCAGGAAAAAATGGATATAATACTCTACATACCTATGGAGAAAATTACACATTGAATTCTAAGCTTCCCATCTTTGATGTAATCTAGCTAGACCTCCTGCATTTTCTAAAATCCCCTGTGGATCAGAGGTGTCTTGGAACAGCATAATCTTGTGTGTTAGTATTCCCTTAACCTTTACTTTTTTTCAAATACCCATTTTAGTCAGTATGATGCTGAATTTTTCATAATACTTCTAACGTATATTCAGGCAAATAATTTCTTCCTTTCATTATACCTTATTAAGGATAGTTCTGATTGAATGAATGTGTGTGTTTTGTATTTATGTTGCTTTTTGACTCATAGATTGGTTTGACTATTTACAGTTGTCTGCTATCTGGGATTAGCCTTATCAAGTCTATTTAAAAATGGGAAAGCAACAAAGACTAGAATACAAACATAAAAGCTGCTTTTTATTTTGTTTACCGTTTTTGATAGATGAACACCATCAAAATCTAGGGAAGACATTGGTAATAAAAAGTACATAGATCTATAGGATGACATAATTATTTAAAAAAGTGATCAGAATATTATAAAAGTGCATTACCAGGAAATGTCATCTGAAGCAACAGACACATCCCAGTTACACCAGATCAGACTTTAATGGCAGAATATATGCACCACAAGTTACTGGAAAGCAATCAGAACTGTCTAATGGGCTTCTTGCCGTTCCCTGAAAAGATGAGGGACAGTAATTATATGAAAGTTTGCACACACTGTTTGTCAATTCAAGCAATCATTTCATTGCTTTAGGTGCAATTTTAGTCTGCATCATTTTTTCTCATCAAAAGAGATGTGAAAAAAAAGAGTAAAAGCTCATAGCAAATTTGAAAAATAAGGCAATCTACTAGACAGTAGAGGGAGCTGAAGGACCATTGAACAGCATGCTGCGATGAAAAGCCACCTGCAGATCAGATACGGCCTTTGTTCAGTGTGCAGTTCTGTTTTTGTATAAATATTTTAATCAAATTTACGTAACTCTAATGTTAAAATAAATTTAAATTAAAATATTTACATTGTATTGTTCTGCTTTTGCATAGAATCTTCCTGCAGAGGATCACCTCAAAGCATAAATGGAAATGCATTTGCCATCTGTGATATTTTGGAGTGTGACTATGTTTGCAGGGGCAGTTAGGCGAATGCTGGGGTGCACACTGCAGACCAAAACCTGCTCTCGGGCTATAAAGTCCCATCATCACTAATCAGAATCATACAAAATACATTTTCTTAATCCCTTATTTCTCATGCCTGAATTTCCATTACATCTTGAGGGTTTTTTTTTCTTTCTTATTTAAAAAAGGTATGGAAGTTGTGGGTTAAAATTTGCAGGAATGTATTCATCTGGTTAGGCACTCATTCCATAGTTCTAATGCCATCCAGTTAACTCTGCATGTGGGAGTAGCAAATGCCAGCTAAGTATCCAGGTTTTTTAATACCACAAGAAGCACCAATGCTTTCTGCTTATGCCATATCTCTGACTGAAGTTGATTTTCGATGCTAATGAGGTAAAACTAAGAAAAGATGAGGGGCGTTGTCCAGATAGTAAGAAGATATACTTTTATGATGGAGAGTGATTTAATAATCAGCTTTGAGGTGCTTTTTCCTAGAGAAGAAGTGCTAGCCATGGCCTACCTCACAGACAGTTCTCTGGCAAATGCATTTTTTTAAAATTTATAGTTACCTAGTTCTCAGTTTCATGGACAGATGCCAGAGTTATCACAGGAGACTTCATGTGCTGATTGTAGTTTTTTCACACTGTTTTAAAGAATGGTAGTAATTATAAGTGTAAACAACAAAAATCAGCAGTAAGCGGAAAAAACAAGCTTTGATATCATAAGAAGCTACTGAGGTGTTCAGAAGTCTTCTTCAGGACATGTGCAGGAAGTAAATGCTCTTGACACAGCTGAAGCACCCATCCCCACCAAAACTCCGTCCAAATTCATCAACAAGCATTTCTCTCTAGCTTGCCTGTAAACCTTATCAAAACAAGACCTAAGAAAACAAAGCTTTTCATCATCCTTTTATTAAATAGTTTCTTGGTTAGAGTTCTTTAGCAGGATGCAGGAAACTCAGGATTCCTTCATCCAGACCTCGGAAGAAAGTGAAGCTGTTGCTCTCTTCCCTTGAAAAGAAGAAGGAAAGAGGGGCAGATCTTGGTTTCCGTTCCTGTTCCATTGAATGCTATGTAAAAAAATATTGAAGTGCTTGTGGGATTTATGCCTCCGTAGTCCTGGCTCACAGATATCATCTGGCAAAAAGGTTGTAAACAAATTGAGGCTGAATGATAGGCTGGCAGAGTGATGGCTGCAGAGGGAGCAGGTCGCCTTTGCTGTCCTACTTCGGTTAGTTTGCCTCCCTCCTTCCCAGTGCAAAGTGGAACAGCCTGAGCTGGAGACACTTTTCCCTCTCTCCAAAATGCTTCACAACTGAATGGTTTTCCTTAGCCTTTATTTTCTTTCTTCCATTTTCTTCCTGTCTGAGTTTCTTCTCAATGAACACGTTATGCTCATCCTGCTTTCCCCTGAGTGTCCTCCTCTGTGTCTGTGTATATATAAAGGAAGCCCTTTTTTTCTTTTTGTCCTATTACTAGTTCTCCTCTCCTGCTCCCAGAGTGCATCTTCAACTAACACAAGGGAGAGGGGAAAGGAAATTGTATTGGGGAAATCAACCAACAATGTTACATGTGTGAGAGGAAGAGGTATTTCACCCTAATACCCCCTTTGAATTTTTGTCTCCTAATCCCGTTGCAGTGTTTTTTTTCTCTGATCTGGTGGCAGCAAATGGGAAATTCAAAGCAGCAGACTGTGAATTAGGATGTGAAACCCCTTCCCCACCATGCTATTTTTACAGAACTTCCTTCTCATCCCTCCCTCATATGCTCGTGAATGAACTTGGGCATGTGTATGTGTCTTGACTGCATCTCTCCATTTCCTCCACCCCACCCCAGCTCCAGCAGCTGGCAGGTGCTCCCTGTTTTCCTTGGCTACCTCAGCTGCCCTCATGCTGTCTGCATCCGTACTGAACTGTGGTTGGGTGCCAGCTGGTGGTCTACCAGTCCCTTAGGTTCCTAATCGGACATTCTGCTGGAATACGTTTGGGGCCTGTTTATATTTCTTCAGCATAAAAATCATACCAGAGAGTGAGATTAATACTCAGGCCTCATGCTGATATTGAGCTGAACAGGGACCTGAAAAAGGTTTCAGGTCACTGATGGGACCTGAAAAGCATTTCTGGGTATCATAAGTTAGGTATTACCCTTGGGTGTCCCTCCTGCTACCTTAGATCTGGTATGAAAAGCAGGAGACTAATTATCTGTAGGATGAGGAAGATGAGAAAATAAAGTCACAAGGTACACCTTTCCATCTCAACTCCCCTTTCTGACTGCTGAGTAAGAGTAGAGGTAAGAGGCCAGCTCTAACGTTGAATCCGTTTCCTTCTGCTCTCTTTGCATGCCTCTGATAGAAGGAGCTTGTCTACTAGCCACTAACTCATGAGGACTGGTTATTAAATCATTTCTTTCTGGCTTCCACATTTACTTATTCCATGCAAAAGATAATGAGGGTTTCCCCTTCCTTCTCTTCCAAGTACTCAGTACTCTGCTAGGTTAGAACATTCTCTGAGAGGTGGGAATGTGGGTTCGGATCCCCTCAAATGTCTGCTTAGAAAGGAAGAATTCCTGCTCCATATTTCAGATCTAAGGCTCAGAAAGCTTTCCTGGGTTCAGACAGTGAATCCTGGGGGTAGGGTACCCGAGTCCTAGATGAGGGTGGATTTTTAGGAGACGTACTTTCCACAGTCCTTTTCAATTGCCTATCTTGGGTGGGCATCCTTTTCTCATCATCCACTAGCACCATTCATTTCTCAGAGGCCAGACATGTAACTTGTACACTATAAATTTCACTACCTACTGCATGTACAGTGCTCCTGCAATAATCCCTGTTATGATATGTTGGTCTTATAAATGGAGCTTTACATGACATTTTGCTTCCTTAAGTAAGTACCCAAATCTACCAGACATGTATTGCTGACATCCTTAGCACTATTGTTCATCTGTCATAAAACCTTTTGCCTATGGTTGTAACTTCAATCTGTCTTTGCTTAGCTAGAGTTTCAACTCATATTATGTCTTCCTTTATACTGGGCCCACTCAGGCTGGCTTTCCACTTTCTGGGTGATAACTAACTGGCTTGTTTGAACCTTTAAGATTTTATATTTAATAGTTTGAAAGCTTATTGATGCCACTGTGAATCTACTACAAAAAATGTAGGTATGAAACATAGAAAATGTAAGTATTTGCCATGCTGCAGTTAATGTTAAAGAAAAAGGCAAAACCAGGACACAGATCTTTCCTTGCTGGGATAAACATGCAGAGAGTCATCCTCCCCCTTGCCCTGGGCCAATCAGTAATGAGTTGCAATGTGGCGTAGCTTCATTAGCCTATAACCTGCCGGTTAGGGCATCCACAGGAGAAGTAAGAGATGAAAGTTTGGTACCCTTAGGGTAAGCAGGTTCTTGAACCTTGCCATCCATTCTGCAGCTGACTTATCTAACAACCTGATATTTTGAAACAGCTTATGACTCTTTTCTTCCTGCTGTTTTAAAAAAGGGAAGTCTGACTTCTACTTCAGTTTTTAAAGAAAGGCAGGCTATATACACTCACCTTAGAAATGGGTTCAGGCCTCTGAATCATAGATAAATGAGACCGCTCATTCATCCCTTAACAATCTATCTAAACCTGGAAAAAGAAGTAAATGTCAGCTCTTCCCTCAATGTTTCCTTATATTTTACTTTAGGAAGTATTACAATTCAGTATAATGATTTCAGATTGCTTTGTCCTGCCATGCTGGCCTTTGTGGATGCCTTTTGAGATATATAACTGTCATCTTTCATAAAACAGACACTTAACATAAGGAACCTTACTCTAATGCAAGGGCTGGTGTAGAAGGCACAGATATGGCCCTAGGAGTGTTGAGAAGGTTCGGAAGGTGAGCAAGCCAATTCTGGGGTAGAGAAGACTCCTGAACTCCATGGTTTAAGGAAGAATGGTGGCTGTCACTGAATTTGAGTGGATTGAATCTGATAGGAATGTGAAAGTACTTCCTATTCCAAGATTAACTGAAATAGTTGGAGGAGTGAGTGGTTTGTGAAAGCAGCCAGGCTCAGGCAGTTGATCTCTCCAGGAAAGACTGTGGGTAAACTTTAGGAGAAACTTAAGATAACAAACCTCTGTTTTCAAGATCCCCCTTCCCTCAGGTGGCCCTCTCTCTTGCTTCTTTGAGACCCACAGACGTGCGCCTCACGTCCTGAGAGTCTCACCAGACTACTGCTTGCTCTCTCCATCACCACTCACCTTCAGCAGCCATAGTGGTAGCAGCTAATGGGCCTTAGGCGTATTTGACTCATCTGAAAGTAGTGCTTACAGTAGACCCAACTCTTTTACAATCTTTGCTACAGCACCAGAGACATCTGTGGAAACAGACATCTCTAAAGTTAGATTAACAAATGTGCAGAAGTTTTTCAGACACCAAAGTTTTGTCTAAATTTCTTCCTATGTGCTTTAATCCCTTTTTTTTTTTTTTAATAGGACCCTTGGTCTTTCTCTTCAACTGTAGCCCCCCCCAAAAAAAATTCTTAAGGAATGTGACAGAGAAAGGATTTTGAGGGGAATTACCTCATTCTGTCTTTGTAAACTGTATCTATGAACAATGCTGATCCCTGCCACTGCTTCTGTTTCTCCACTTCAGGAATCCTAGTTTCTCAGCCTCGTGCTATCAGGAACACTTTTCTACAGCTCTGTAAAAGCAAATTCTGACATCAGTTGCATTTCTGCTCTTGATGGGCATTAGGATTTGAATCTGGAAGGAAGTGAGCACTTGACTAAGTTCTGATCAGTAAAGCACTTAAGCATT